CGCGGTCCTCTCTTTTGGCATTTTCGTGTTTGTAACAATCTACCTAATAGTTCACCTATTCATTTTATTGTGTCATTAAAACAATACTGTAAACGACTTAATTTTCGCGGGCTCACATTTTCGCGAATCGGACCAAAACTAAAAATTTGAAATTATTCGCGGGTTCTAGTTTTCGCGAATCGAGTGTAGCTTCCATAGCGTTCGCATATTGGCCGAATTGTTCGCGGTACGTATTTTTTGCGAATTGTAGGCGATTCGCAAAATTCGCGAAACTTAGGTCCTCGCGAAAATTTAGTCGTTTACAGTATTTGGGTTGAACCAGGGCAGGCTTGCCGTAAACAAAATGAGTCAATATCATTTGAGACAGTCTCCAAGGATTTCTTAGGATGTTCCGCCCAAGCGTCTGAGACGCGATGTTCACATGTCACGCGATCAAGCGCTAGCTGTGGTAGCACTTAATTCAAAATTGTGTTTTAAATAATAATTAGTTTGTTTTATATCTAGAAAACCAGCCTAGTTTTTTTAAGTGAACTAATCTATTCCAGTATATAAGAAAAAAAAATCGCCTGGCTAGACATCCCCCAAATTCAATAAAGCTGCGATACCACTGGATGGAATATTAACAAGCAGCAATTTTTATCAGAATTTAAGCGGGGCTACATTCCCTCTAAAATTAAAAGGAAGGTTGTCACGTCACGTCACGCAATACAGTGAGGTGACGTGAGTTTGTGACATCACGCGATTTTTGTGACGCCACGCAATATTATAACGTCTTGTGACGATGTTACATCATATGGCACTACGATGTCACGTTGCGTGACACTGTGATTTCACATGACACCACGCCATCACGTCGCGTCGTACCATCACTTCACATGACGCTTTGATATCACGTGACTTGGTGATTTCATTCGGTGAGAGCAAAACGAGTAAGAAACGGCCTTAAGGAACTGCCATATAAAGATATAGCTTTAGAATGCGTAAAAATCGATGAAATCATCAGTAGTGGTAAACGTGCTAAAAATAAAACGTTTTAATCTGACAACGGCATCGTTCTCCTGTAAACACGGACGGCTACTCACAATTGTACAAACATAAAAAAGCGTGAGTAATCCTCTGATTCTCGGATTAGGAAACGCTGTTTTGGCACGCGTTTTCTAACGTTTTCCCACACATTAAAAAAAAAAAAGAAAAAAAAGAATCCCACGGGTTAAAACGCTAGAGTTTTTTTTTTTGTTGTTGTTTTGTTTAACCTAACGAAACGAGGAACGGGGAAGCAGAAAAGGAAATCTTTAAGAAAAACTATACTTGGGCGAATTGATGATTGATGGCGAATCAAACACAGCGTCAAAAGAAACAAGAAATAAGTCCAAGAAACGTACACCGGAAGGCTGACAACTCAGCTTACAGAAAAACACACGTAGCCGCGAAAACACAAGCGCACTACTGTTGTGAACGTACTACCTCACCCAAAATTATATATATATATATATATATATATATGCTATTTCGCTTTCATAATATGCAATATACCTTTTTGGAAACCTTATCGAGTAACATTGGGTGTTTATTCCCAACTTTCATAGACATCGACGCCTGGGCAAATTCCCTAAAATTAGAAATTTAGCTGAACACCAACAAACATCGCAATGTTCCTAAAGAATGTATGAGATGACAGCCATAAAATATCAATAAGCAGTAATTAAACTTTCGGACGAGTGTAGTTTTTATTCCTCGGGTCTACATTGTTCTTTTGATTGAATTTTATGGCTTACATTATCAATTTCTGCTTTTCTTGACAAAAAATCGTAATTTTTTCGTGAATTGTAATAGCCTGGTATCAGAACGCACATCAAATATAATTGCAATATTTTCTTTAAACTTTTTTTTATTCCTCGCCATATCCCAGAAAGTTGGCCATGACCGTTTTTTGGGCACGGAGCATATAATTGCATCCGGGTTCAAAGCTGACGCAAATAGTGGCAAAGCTCTATTGAAAGACCATACTCTTGTTTGCTAACGGACACGATACTGGAAAAACTAGCCCTTAATTGCTCCGCTGTAAAAAGTTGCTCGCTGAGGAGAGGTTATTGAAATTGAGTTTCCCAAGCTGGGGAATCCCGCTGAGCTCCTTTCTTTTCATCGATTCATTCTTTTTGGTCGACTGTATTTTCGCTTCAAACGTGCACATTTCGTTTGCACAATGTCCCGCGGTCCAGAAGGCTTTCAAAACCAGTTCCCGGTTCTCCATGCCCGTCCAGTGAGTCCCCCAAGTCGTAAGCTTGCAGGATTCGATCGGTGAAGAAGCAGGCTTCCTTACCACTCCTAATCCCCTTCGTGCGGGGGTCTGGATTCCCTGTCGCCGTTCCAGTCGCTGTCGATAAGCGCAGACGCTATACTCCGCATCGCCCTAATGATGGAGCGCCACGGACTCCGCCTGCCGTACCAGCCGATACAACGCCGGATGATTGTCACAGGCATTGTCGGGAAAAGCGCAGGGTCAAGCGGAACAGTAGTCACGTGATGATTCGTACACGGCGTCGGATTGGTTGGGATGAATCGGAGTGCCTGCAGTGGTCCATTCTAAGGTGGAATATAATATAGGCGTAGGAATGGGGAAGGTGGGCGAGCGGTATTCAAACAAGCTTTGCAATAGAAGACACGGAAAAACGGACTTCTGGACACGCGTTGCGGTGGTTTGAGGGCGGATTAAAGGTAGAGCCTCTTCTAGATAGTATTTAACATCGCTTGTTAGGGGAGAATATTACTAGTCACGCGGGTTTTGTTGTAAAATCCTCGAATAGACCCATCTATTTATTTTTGCGTACGTTTATACTAATCCAAAACACCATTTTAATTTATTTTATGTTTTTTTTTTGTTGCTTTCAACGATTTATTTTTTATGTAATCTAGTCTCGCGTTACAACCCAGTTTTTGCCGATATAGCTAAGTTGAAGTAACTATATATCGTCTTTATTGAGATCTGGGGAGGTGATGATATTGAATGAAAATCAACTGTTGAGAACCAATACAAGATCGAGGTCTAATTTTTAAAAAAAAGCTGGTTGATTTTAAAATAATTCAGAGCTACCCTGAACTAGTTAGTGCAAGTGCAACATTTTTACCTTTAAAGAGGTCGACCATTCAGTTCTCGTGTTATACCGCTGTCAGACGGGCATGTTACACACTAAAAAAAAAGGTTGCAGCCATTACACCCCAAAATTTCAGTTCGACGTACAGTGCATTGACCTTGAACTGAAGTTTTGGGGGGTCGTATATCTGACAAGGGGTGTAGAGGCTTTCAGAGGAAACTCCTTTAAAGGGTCGGCGAACCAGAGCTCATCAATAGGTGCGAGATCGCGAGCTGATTCGCCGGCTCTCAACGAAAGATGGTTCTGAAGGCCTTGAAGGTGTTTGTCTGACAGCGACATTACTGCATAAATCAGTATTGACATCCAACGCCCTTCATTCGAATCGCAGGAAACGTGTAAAACTAGCACAACGTTATATAATTGTTTGTTCTTTTTTTACTTGTGGGAACTAAAATATGGAAGAAAAACATCATGAGTTGACTTATTTTAATGGATGTATCTGCTCACTTCGGAATATCAAGACAGTTAACATAGAGACCTTTGGAAAGTCGCATGGGGATTGTTTAAAGGTCGGAACCACTGCAACAATGGCGGAACGCCCGACGCCGCACAAGGTGCAAGTCAATATATACGCCGGTGTGCAGCTAGCGATGGGCACTGACGAGATAATCAAACAGAACCGAAAACGCAACCTCACCGCGTTCATCACATTTTCTCTCTGCGCTTCAATGTCTTCTAATGCAACCAAGCGCAGAAAGTGAACAGCAAGACTGTGGTATTACGGCTTTGTTTCCGCCATTGTGCAGGAATTACACAGCTTCGAACAGACGGCAGACCTTTGAAAGGCGGTCTATTGCAAAACAAATTTGGAATAATATTTCGTACGTTTTCAACGAGGATTGTTCAAAATAACACGAACGCGAACCTTATCTAAGACTCACAGCGGTCGCCGAAGTTTGGGTAAGAGTTACCCTCTTTATATATCAAACCAAAATATACTTACGAAGTGAATATGAGTGAATTCTGCCATGACAAGATATTTCTTAAGCCCTCATCTCACAAAAAGAAGCTGTACATTGATCGCGCGAACCCCTGAGAAACAATTTGAAGCCCCCAAGTATCTAGAGCGCGTAAAATGAACATAAGTTAAAGCTTAAGTTTGAGTTTCTGGTCTGTAGACTGCAGCGTGAATTTTGAGGATAGATTGGAGTTAACGCACGACTGAAAGCTTGGCTGTTTGAGCTTACACCTTGTAGATAAGAAGAACATGTGTTTGTGCCTTCTATCATCGTCAACCAGCCATGGTCGCAGTAGAACGCCAGTCTCCAGTAAAGTATAACGTTGCGGTTCTGAGTCTGCTTGCCTAAGATATTACAATTTATTAGGCAGTCGGGCTTGCCATTCGCCACCATTTCGACCGCCCGATTTCAATGGGATGAGAAACGTGTCCGAGAAAAAAAGTCGAAAAGGACGAATTGGAGCAAATGTGATCGTGACGCCTCGAAACGTGGCTACACATGGATATTTTTACCCGCTCGCTTTATTTTTATTTACCAATAATCCGGCACGATATATTTAATTAAAATACGCAGATTTTAACGTCATGTGATGACCCGTTCCGGTCTTAGAAATGTAACGGAAACGCGACCCTTTCGAACCCCTGCAACTTGTAACGGAAACTTCGTTCCGAAAATTGAGAAAAATCGAGAAACGCACATTCGATCCTGTTTTAAGGGAACGTAAACCGATGCAACGCAACTCCCAGGTGAATGCTGTCTCCAATTTGTGCTCCCCCCCCCCCCCCCCCCCCCCTTGGCCTTCGGTAGGTTGAGAGAGAAGTACTGCGGCGGCACAACTTCTTTATCGAGAAGGCTTTGTTCGGAGCGCAGCGTCGAGACGCGCACTGACCTTTGTCCACGACGCAGACTAGATGAAGGTCGTCCCCGACCAAGAAAGGTCCGATGCGCCCATCGACCGCCGTGCCGTCTGACGTCAGGATTGTGGGAACGCCGGGAGACACTGCAAAGTTGTGGAGGCAAAATTTAAAAACAAAAACAACAAAAAAACAATAATTTTTTTTTGTGTGAACCGAAGAGCGGGGCACGTCAAAAGTTAGACACACTCTGCACATCGTTTCACTTTAACTCTGACCGCAGCCCACGTCACTATTCGATCGAGTCTATAATGCAACACCAAAAGTGAAACGCTCAATTCTACGGGTTTTTTTTTGTTTGTTTGTTTTTTGTTGTTGTTGTTTTTTTACTGCGGAATTGCTAAGGGCTAGGTTCCTCAGTTTTGTGTCTGTGGACAAATAAATCTCGACACAACCCGCTGGACAGTTACCGCCATCTATGAGCGACGGCGGCAACCAGACAACCGCCTTTCCTGTTGTCTGGCTGCCACCGTTGCTCATAGATGGCGGAACATAGTACAGCTCCGCTGCTTTTCCTTCTTCACCAAAATTCTTCACCAAAAAAAACTAAAAGTTTTTTTTTTGCGTATTTGGTTTATTTAGTAATAGAGCAAACCGAGGAAGGAAACCAGTTCCATGACAACGCACTTTTGGCGCTTCCTCTTATTACCTTCACTGGATCGTAGAGCCGAGCGCCATCGGACTTAAAAGTTAAACAGAGTCATTCACATTTAAAACAGTTTGAAAGCATAAACAATTAACAAAAAAAATATACTTCCGTCTTCTGTCCTATTATTTTTTTTCCGTTTGTTTGTCTTTTCTTCGTGATAAATGACTGTTTACAAAACGCACTCCATTCTTTCATTAAACGTAGTGGAACTCAATGTCATTAAAAGTGAGATTTTATGTGCCTTCATCGACATATTCATTATGCTTAATTGCGTTGTGTATGTTTGGGGCGTTGGACATAAATAATTTAAAAAGGGGTCATTAATGCAAAAAGAGCGTGCGCTAATAGCAGCGACTACACTACGCGTTGTATTTATTTAAATATATACTTATATATTTGTTTGTTTGTTTATAAAATATCCCGTGAACATATTTATGCAGTACTTTCTGTCGAGTAAGACATTATTATTATTTTTGTCAGTGAATAAGAAAATGAGGCCAACCTACTTGTTTTCTTTGAAATATTAATACCCTGAGCTATTCAACATGCTTTGACCGGGTTGTATTTTCACCACCTTTCGATAGTTATATTTCGTTAATATTAGGCCGTATCCAAACTCTCTAAAGATAGCCAGAACTCTATTGTAGTCGAAACATTCAGGCAACCCAATTTCTGCTCGTTGGGATCTCATGATCATGAAAGCCTATCAAAGAACCGCCATATAACTCTTTAGCCCCATTTCCAGAAGACACTAATATACGTGGAAGATTAATATAAAATCAAAGCGTTTTAGTTTTACTGTTTATAATTGGGATTACGTGTTTTCGGAGTTTACTTTTCACTGAAAATTAGGGGTGTATCGGAGTTTAATTTTGCTAGATTTCCAATTTTCTGAAATCTAGTATTTATTTTACTGTGTTCCCAATTTTCCAAAATTCTCAAAACAACACAATAAAGTTCGGGTACCATAACCCCTTGTTCTGAAAGAACCTTGACTAGCTAAAAGGCACACCCTTTTTGTCAGTAGTTCTAGATTTTAAAGGAAACGGAAATGACATCTCCTCAGGATCACTGACCGTGCGCTCTTTTAAAGTTTATAGAAAAAAAATCCTCGTTTTTTTTTATGTTTTTATTTTTTCGTTGTCACCTTGAAATGTTGAGTTTTCGGATAAATTCGAATGGACGGAAAAGTTGCTGGCGAGAGTTTTTAGACTTTGTTTTTTCGGATGTATCCGAAAAACACGGGACCTTATTTATTATTAATAGTGTACATATATCGTGTTCTGAAAACCGTCTAGGCTGAATTTCGAATTTGGCACTGCGCTGAAAAATTCAAACCTGAGACACCCACAAATGTACTCGGTACGTTTTATTTTTTTTTTGTTTTAATGTTTAATTTATTTTAATCGTTTGGACTTGCATTGAGGTAATTACTTATTGAGTATTGAGCGGGTTCAAACAAAACAGAAGAGGTTTATATTAGTCTAATCTACAGTTCAAGCAGAGTAAAATTATTTGTTTTGACTTCTTTCTTGGGTAATATAAATATAACGCTCGATTTAGCGGGGGCTTTTTTTTTTTTTTTGCGAGATCGTTATTTATAATTTTATCGCTACTGAATTCCATATACAAGAGTGTTTCTTAAAGGGTTTGGCATGATCGCTCTTTATTTTATCTAAATAGTTTATATAACACTGACTCGCGATGTGTCGGCTTCTAGTTTAAAAAAAGTAAATGAGTTTACAACTGTTAAATTTGATGTGGATATTTTTAATTGGCTTGCAATTGAAACCCGCATTGATGTTTTCGTTTCACGCAAATATGTTAACAATTCCTTGCTTTTTTTGTTGTTGTCTTTCTCAAATAGCCTTGTAATGGCAGGCCTCGCGGAACCTACACGAACACTGCTTTTTTTCTTGTTTTTTTTTTACAACTGTGTGTCTATACGTGAATATCGTTTTACTATAACAGGTGTGACTATATGTGCGAGTGGCATTAGGAGAAAGGACCCGAAACACGCATCAATTTTTCATCATTAAACTTTCAACGCGAGGGGACGCTCAGACCCTCGCACGGACAGAACCATTCACGTCTACACAGCGCAGAGACGGGCGCTTATGCCACGGTAACCACCACAATCATCAATCGCAAGAAATACAAAAAGTATACAAATCAAGACGTAAAAATGCTGGCGACCTCAAAACCTCAGAAGATTTTCAGACGCATCGAAAAAGACGTCAACAGGCATCAGTTTGAAATAACAAAAAAAGAAAACATGGCACACGGTCCCTTATCAATCATAATAAGGTGAAAAGAAATATTTAAAAAAATAGATATCAGGTGCCAAACTGAATCCAAAAACCTATGCATGAAATTAAAACAAAAATGGCTTACTCGAGTACAAGCAGGTGGAAATAAGGAACTGGAAATGAGGGTCATTAATATGGGCGAGACCGTTTTGCGCGGCTCAGTTTCTAAAATAAAAATGAAATAAGAGCGAAGCTTTCTCGTGCAGGCATTTCAATACGACAAAACAAAATATTAAAAAAAAGGAATCAAATTAATACTGGGTACAAGACATTATTATTTGAAGCATTCACTTAGGAGTTCCGAGTAAGCCTTAAAGACTTCTTGGCCGATTACCCACCGCTCATTAGTAACGTATCGTTTAATCTCGCTGTGGTTTTTTAATCGAGCCGCTAAATATAGACGAGGGGTTTCGAATTACCTCTCGGAGAGGCAAAGCCCTTTGCAGAACTGGCGTTTAAACGATACGAAATCCAGGACTGCGGCCTTGCTAAGACGGGTGTGGACATTACGAAATGGATATTTATAAGGTAACCAAGAACATCAATTGAATGTATTTTTTAATGCCGCAAAATATATTATTAGAGTATCATTAAAACCTGCCAATACGGAATCATTATGCTGTCTTTTGTATGTGTCTAGCTCTTTTCAAAATTTATGTAGACTTGGGTTACCAGGCTGAAATTAGGAGCAAACATGTTGACGAGCATGCCAAAACTTCCATGAGGTGTGCACGGAAACTGGGAGGATGCAGCCAATGGTTTAGCGCATGTCCTTGAGCAAAACGCATGAAATATTATGCTGCGCTACTTGAAGACAACGTTGAAAAAGCAGAGCAATTTAAACAAAAATTATGGATATTTTACGTTAAAACTTTCAGCTAAGACTACGACTAAGATCGAGCAATTTATACTAACTTTCTGAGGCTCTCAGCTTCATGTACGTGCTATAAAACGTTCTAAATTAACATATTTGATACGTTTGAGTGTTTTTTAAGAACTTGCCGGTCATATAACACAAAATTCTACGCAACAAAGATATTCAAACGTTCCTACCCCCCAAAAAAAGAAAAAAAAACAGCTGCAAGCAATTGGGAAGGACAGTGGCGTTGTGTTGACAATGACATTGTGTTAAAGTTGATCTCAATATAAAATAAGTCCATTGGCGTTTTAATTATTGAAAATAAACCCACGGTTCTTATTATAAACTTGATTTGCGTTATTGAGGACCAGTAAGCCAGTCAGTATTAGAACAATTTCGAACACGCGGGAACTACGGTGGAGCGATCAAGTTACCACCCGAGCTACAGGAACAAGGCTGTTTTTTCCGTTTCATATCATCTGCGTATTTTCATTCCGGCCTTGTGCCTGTTGGACGAGCGGTAACTTTAGTGCACTACTGCGCTCCCACACGCACTCAAGGTATATCTAATAAAAAAATAATGATTTAGTGGTTTTTCATGATACTCATCATGCTTCTAATTGGAACCATATGTTTATTTTCAGAAATTAAAAAGTCAATTAACGAATCATAATTAATTATTTGATTTATCGCGACGATTACCCCCTATATCACGTCCACCGGGTCGTATATCTCGCCTACCTAAATCGCATTAGTGTAGCTTTCACGGTATGTTTCTTTGCATTTTTACAATTTTCTTAATCCAAAAAAAAAACCTATATAAAGCATGACAAAAACCCCGAGACTGCGGGTGAAAACCGCAATAGACCAAAATGTGTCAAACACAGCTTTGTCATGCTTAATATTCACAAGCTCGTTTGCGCCCTTACATTAAGTTCACCCTGTGTAAGTCAGTTCTACTCCTGGGTAAATACAAATCTAACAATCAATAACTATGCACCCAGCTTTGGCAGTTATGCAACAAAAAAAAAAACTACATTCTAAAAACATAGCCGTGCGTCTACTTTCCCCACACCACACTCGGAAAGCCAATCACCGCAACTTACGGAGGCAGCTCAGCGAATGGCGATGTCGAAACATAAGTTTAGACCAAAAAACGCTGTCTGAGTTGTGACATCAAGCAATGCAAAACATGCTCTGATTGCTTAATGTCACAACTCAGACTGCGCTTTTTTGGTCTAAACATATGTTTCGGCATCGTCATTATCT